TTGCACTAGTCTGATTATGATAATGTTAGCTTGCTCCAATTCTTCAATCGATAAAGATCCTTTCCTTTTAATACCTCTTAGATTATTTGTAAATCGCATACAGTACGCTATGACTCTTTTTAGCTTAATGATAGATGAAAATTTATACAAAATATCGTGCATATCCGGGATAGCTGCTAATGTAATCTCCCGTTTAGTTTCCCGTTTAGCTTCCGGCATGTCTTCTAAACTAAAAACTTCTTGTATCGGCCTTTCAGAAGGCTGCACTAACCACCTAGGTCCATGCCACCATAGATAATTATCCTTTAAATCTTCAGTAGTCGTGCCTCTAGATAACAAATCCGCGGGATTGTCACTTGAGGGTACATGATCCCAATCTTTACTCGAAGTGTGTCTCTGAATCTCAGCGACTCGGTTAGCCACATATGTTTTCAATTTGTGAGGAGATGTTTTAATCCAACTTAACGTAATTGTAGAGTCAGTCCAAAAACTTACATTGTTAATTTTGTTAGACAATACATGATTTACACTGCTAAACAGCTTGGCTGCCAAATGTGCAGCATTTAACTCTAAACGTGGCAATGTGAGTGGTTTTAATGGAGCTATCCGTGATTTGGAGCACATCAAATGTGCAGTAGCGCGCCCATCTTGATTTAGACTACACGCATAAATACATGCTCCATAAGCTCTCTCCGACGCATCACAGAAAACGTGCAGATCCACCAATAGTGACGGATTGCCTGGATTACAATTGCGTGATACTAACAAAGCTTGAGTCGAATTTATAGATCTGCAATATTTTGACCAACTATCTTGTAAATGGGGTGGCAATTCTTCATCCCAACTTAGCTTCTCCTTCCACAATTGTTGCATCAGTTGCTTCGCTACTACTAACACTGGCTCGATAAGCCCCAGAGGGTCAAATATTTTTGAGCTTGAAGACAGCACTTGTCTTTTTGTAGCTGATAGTTCTTCCTTTATTTGCACTTCATACTGTAAATAATCCGTTTCTGAATTCCAATACAGTCCAAGAGTTTTCAAGACTTCATGTTTGTTTAAAA